AGTGTATCCGAAAAGACGGGGAAGGGTCTTTAGCCAGATTCAGAAGAAATCGCTGGAGATATTTCCTCACAATCTCTGGCAGCCAAAAAGCGGCGTTTCCTCTAAATGTGGCCAAGGAGCAGTTTAAGCACCATCGGGGACAATTCTTAAGCATCTCTCAAAATTTCCTGATGATAAGACTGCCACCTTTTATCTAATCGAGACAGCGGGCATCTCTGTTAAAGGAAAGAGGCGACTTTTATTTCCTGCAGGTTTCTCCAAGAAACCGGACCCTTGCAAGAATCCTGCGCAACTCCAAACAATCTAGCCCTAGCAGAATCTCCTCCCTGTTGGACCGGGAAAAAAATTACGTCAAAACCACACTGGTACCGCAAATGCAGAACCAGAGATTTGGGGCCCAAAATAGAAACTAATTTCAAAAGGACGATTCTGCAGTTGCTTAGATGGTTGACTCAACATGTAGAACATGACAATGATCTCTGTCAGGATAGAAGGATTCTTCTAAATCTCTTTTTGTGGGGAACAAAAGAGACCGGAGTTTAAAGGAGCTAAAATTGCCATTCTTTCAGAACATTTTTTTTTTTACCCTTGCCAACAAATATGTACAATTATAGATAAGCACCAAACATCTCCGCAATTTCCTAGGGTTTAGCAAACTGTGGCCGCTGCTTGTAAAAAAAAAAAACACCTGGCAGGAGCAAGCGTTTCCTCTAATTATCACAATATTGAAATGTTTTCCCTGCAAACTGACAATTGCAAATAAACTGCAAACGGGGAAAAAAAAAAGGACAATAACGTTCACCCTGCATCAGCGACAGCATCATCCTAATATAAATGTTTTGACATCTTGTTTTCATGCCTAGGAACAAGGAGCGCATCGCACAGGAAGCAGACACAGAATTTTGCAGGGGGGCTTCCGTGCCCTGGGCGCTCTTCCCCGACACCGGAGGCTCTCTATTCCCTCTCTCTGATCTGAAAAGCAAACAGCCTGGTAGTTTCTCTGTCTGTTACCAAAACAAAGAACAGATGGAAACGGGGCTTCCTGCCCCAAAGAGATTCACTTCTAGCCTCTTACACAGAGCAGGCGAGAGAAGGAGGTGGAGGCTCAAAGAGAAGTCGCACTTCACAGAGCTGTCACTCACATTCTTCCCAAGAGCTTTTTGGCATTTCTACACTAAAACCAAAGGGTTTTTTTTTGGGGGGTGTGTGTGTGTGTAACCTACCCCTATGTTGCAGTCCAGCTGGCTGAGAAGGATATTGCAGTGCGATCCTGAAACACGAGTGTGATTTTCGCTCCCGGACTGAGAAAACTATGGTACAGGTAGTCCTTGATTTATAAACTGGCCGCTTCGGGACTCTTCGAAATTATAACAAATTCTGAAAAAAGGAACTTATGGCCTGGATTTGGAATTCTGAAGCTCCGCCCCCCCGGTCATGTGACTGCATTTGGGGCGTGTAGTAACAGGCTTGCATTGACGGCCATTTACAGAGTCCCGAGGTCACATGACTGCGGTTTCCTTTTTTTTTTGTCGTCTTAAACCGGCGTTTACTTCCAGTTTCTAGACCAAAAACGCCCAATGCAGACAATAGATTTGCTAACCACGGTGTTTGCTTTACAACTGCCATGTCTGCTTAAAAGGGCTGTAAAATTGGGTGCTATCGCGTGATGACTCACTTAACGACCAACATGATTTACAACTGTTCAACCAGAGACAGGCCTCATGCTTATCATGCTGAGGTTAACTAATTCCCGTCGCTATAAGAAGTGTCAAGAAGTCCTTCTCCAGCCCCACATTTTCTTTGGAACGTTTTTAATTTTGCCCACGTTGAAAGCCATAGCTCACCTGTTGCCCAGGCACCTGGCTACTTATTCAGCGTCCTTTGAAAGACCCCACTCGCTCCTGAGCCTTTTCCAACTTTGCTGGTCACTATAATAAGCATTCTTACAGTAATATATTTCTTCCTCTGCCACTATGCGCTTTTGGACTTGGTGTGTAGCATTTGTGAATGGATTTTTTGGGGAGAGGGGTTGGATTAGATGACTTACAAAGTTCCTTCCAACTCTGTTAATCTGTATTTGTAAAGCCCCAACGCCAGACAACTGCCGGTTTAAATAGAACCACCCAACAGCAGCAAATTGAGAATAAGCATGGATTGATCTACTAAATCTTCAAAACCGGACATGTATCAGAGAATTAGTTCAATTTTTTTTTTTAAAAAAAAGATAAAGTACTTCCAAACACAAGGAAGAGATCAAATTGCTTCCTATTATTCAATAACCACAGCGGTGAGGCATCTGCATAATCTAACCGTGCATAAATTAGCATGGTTCATTTGCATAATAATAACAAGTTAATAGATGCTTAAAGAGCACAGACCAACACCGGTTTTAAATCAGAGATGCCTCCCGGCCCTTTGGCCTGTATCAATGAGGAGGTTAGGGAAAGAGACCGCCATTCACCAGGGGAATAGGCGGCTTCCTCTTCCTCTGCCGGTGCAGGAGAATTGCAACTTTGCAGTATTGCAACTGCCTGGAATGATAAATGCATTTGTGGCATCCCCTGACAAGTACAACAAATGTTTTCATTGGGGTTAAGGATGGGCGAGGAATAAACATGCCGCTTTCAGTAATTAAATTTTAATCTGTGTATCACAGGATTTCTCCCACTTTATAAACCTCCGTAAGGTTTGCCAATTGCACAGGGGCTGATAGGATGTCACTCCAGAGGGTTAATGTCATTGCCCAGAGGATCATGGGTTGCCCTCTCCCCTCTTTGGAAGTGCTTTATAGCTCCCGCTGCCTTAAGAAAGTTCAAAACATCCTCAAAGATCCGTCTCATCCTGGGCACCCTTATTTTTTTTTTGAACTATTACCATCTGGCAGACGGTACAGAATATTAAGAAACAAGCACAAATAGGCTGAAAAACAGCTTCTATCCCAGGGCAGTAACTCTTTTGAATTCTACTAAATATTAATGCAATATCAGGGGTTTTCAATTCAATTATATAGAATGTGAAGGAAGTGTGTTTGTGTTTATTTTCATGGTCATAATGTACACGGAAGGTGGTATTTAATTTAGTTTCGTTTTTAGTTTACTTTATTGTCGTTGCACCTCGTACAACGAAATTAAATACCGTCTTCCGTGTACATTATGACAAATTCTTAATTTTGTTGTACGAGGTGCAATGGCAATAAAGTTAATGTAAAGTAAAGTAAACTAAACCTCTTAAGGACCATAAGTGTCCATGGAAGATTTGCGCAGTCAAAGCCAGGAGCAAAAATGGGTGGTCCACCTCTAGGGAGGGGTCTAAACCACGACCAACATGCCGTGGGGCAACTGGCCAAGGGACAAGAGTTGCATTAATGTCGAAGACACGATGGACTACAATCTTAAAGAAAGAACGCAAAAGTACGGGGAAAAATACGAAATGTTGAATGACAAAAATTACACTGCGGGTAGTCCTCGTCGGAGCCCAACATTTCTATTATTAAATAAGATGTTCATTTAATGAGTTTTGCCCCGTTTTACGACCTTCTTCGCCACGGTCGTTAAGTAAATAGCTGCAGTTGAAGAATTCATAACCCGGTTGTTATGTGAATCTGGCTTTCCAGATTTGCTTGTGAGAAGGGGGCACAACTCGCTTTGGTTGTGATGCTTATTGTAGAAATCCGTAAAGATTCGGCTTCGTAATGAAATCCAACCGTGTTAAGGGAACCGCAATGATTCACTTAGCAACTGTGGCAAGACAGGTCGTAAAAATGGGGCAAAACTCATTTAACAAATTTCTCACTTAGCAACAGAAACCCTGGGCTCAACTGTGGTCGTAAATAGGGGACTACCTGTATATTTTGAAAGGTCAAGTCAGCCTGCTGATAAAGGCCCGCTTACCCCCGTCACTCCCATCCTTTTATAAAACATGGCATTCCTGCATGGTCAATGGTGGCTGGAGGCACAACTTTCAAGGACCCCTGTGTGCAAAACAGCCTTTTTGCAACATCCAACCATGCTATTGTGTGCACAGGTGAAGAGAAGTCTTCAGGTGGGACGGATGAGGATTGGGGCACGGGGTGGGATGGCGGGTGTAGCGGGTTGGATTTGTGGTTTTGATTATTGCAAGGAAGCCTGGGATTTTCAGATTCCGGATTCCCCTGGTTGTGCCGGTCACTATCCAAATAAAAGAGAATTTTTGAGCGGTGTCTGTCTCGGAGTTATTGGTTGGAGTGGAGGGTTGCTGGAATGCTGACCAATTTTCAAGGCCAATCCAATGAAAGGGGGATACGCACAGTAAGTTCCTCTTTCTGAAAACCAACCCAGACATGGACAAGAACGACAGGGAAGCAGCGGAGTCTCTGGGCATAAGCCATGGCTAACGGTGACCCTGACTGGGATTAGTGGCTTCCACCCTCTTCCAACCAACCAAATCTTTCCCCCAAAATAAACTCATGCAAAGAGTTTCATATAAAGAAGCGTTCGTGAAGCGTTTGTGTTCTTCTTTTTCTAAAAAAAAAATGAAATTCTACTTCAATATCTGTGGACTTCAAGTCCCAGAATCTTCCTCGTTCTTTAAGCGCACTATTTTCTCAACCTTGGGAATGTTAAAATAGGTGGACGTCAACTCCCGGAATGCTGGCTGGGGAATTCTGGGAGATGGAAGTCCACCTATCTTAAATTTCCTGAGGTTGAGAAACGCTGCTCTAAACACACTGGATTTTGACACACAATCACTTTCAGCCAGCGTGTTGACAGGAAGGCAGAAAAGCAAATTTGCTCGGCTTCAAACTCACTCTAAGCTCCGCTCCGGGAAACAGTCTAAGAGGGATAAAAATAAATAAATCTTGGACCTTAAAAGGAGGACAAAATCCATGGTGGTTTTGGACAACTCTGAAGTGATTGCTTTTTGATTTAATGGGGCAGATTTATATGAACCACAAAGACTGACACAATTGCTTGTTGCAACTTCATCCACAGGAATCAATGAGGCAGCAACGAACGTCTTACCTGAGGATAGGGGAACCTCCCGAGAGCAAGCTGGAAGGGAAGAAAAAAAAAGGGTCTAGTTAGAGAGATTTGCATTAGGGGCTGAGCAAAAGGAAGGGGGGTTACGGTTCAGAATGGTTTTGAGGGCAAAAGAGAGAGAGAGAGAGAATCAGAATTTTTTTTTAAAAAAAACACTTAATGGATAAGCAAAACGGCAATATTTTGAAAAGCTATCCATAAATGAGCAGCAGATCTGTTAACACATCTATTTGTCGGCCTGCCTGCCCGGCCAAATTCTCTGCTCGTAAACAAAATATGGGCCTTTTTCAATTCTGTGGCCTCTCTTTGCATTTTCAGTTGCTAAGAGATTGGAGCTATTTGGATGAAGAGCTGTCGGTCACCATGAACACGGGAAAAAGTGCCAAGGTGCTTGGACGGCCTCCATCCACCGAGGAAGCCAAGTCCTGCCTTTCGCTCGTGAAGGCAGGCAGCCTCCCAAAAACCATGGCGCTCTGCTCCCTCCACTCTCTGTTGGCTGGCTCAGTTCAGCCCTACGGCGATGGGTTCAAATCCTCCCGTCGAGCTGAGGCGCTGGCTGGGACTGCTTTTCGTTACCACGTTGATTTTGAGACAGAGGGGCTCCAAGGTGAACCGGCCCAAGAGGGTCACCGCCTCGTTGCCTTGCACCCCACGGGCCCGAGAAAACGGCACACGGGCGGATCCTGGAGTTGCAACCGCAACTGGCACCAGAATTTCCATGAACTAAGCAAAGGGAGTCCAATTTCATCATCTTTTTTTTTTCCTCTCTCTCTTGCTGTTAAGTGGGTCCGTGCATTTGCAGTCGTTAAGCAAGTCTGGCTTTCCCCACTAACTTTCTTTAGTGACGTTTTGATGTCGATCGATGAAGAAATGGTAAATTGAGAGCTACTTGTATACATTCCTCGGCTTACGACAGTCTGTTTAGTGACCATTCAACGTTACAGTGGCACTGGAAAAAGGGACTTATGTCTGTTTTTCCACACTTATGACTGTTTCGGCATCCCTATGGTCACGTGATTTACATTCGAACATTTGACAACTGGTTCATAATCACTAGTCAAAAAGAGGGCTGTGAAAGTATCTACAGGCCCTTCACATCCCGGACATAAACTGTTTCAACTCCTTCCCTCAAAACGATGCTATACAGCACTGCACACCAGAACAACTACACCCAAGGACAGTTTTTCCCCAAATGCCATCACTCTGCTAAACAATTCCCTCAACACTGTCCAACTATTTGTCTGTATTACTATTACTATTACTATTAATCTTCTCTTCACTCCTTATCACCCATCCCTCCCGCTTGTGACTGCATGACTGTAACTTTGTTGTTTGTATCCTTACAATTTATATTATTTCCTAGTATGATTTGATTGCTTATTGTATCCTATGATTATTATTAAGTGTTGTATTTAATGATTCATGACTCTTGATGAATGTATCTTTTCCTTTATGTACACTGAGAGCATTTGCACCAAGACAAATTCCTTGTGTGTCCAATCACACTTGGCCAATAAAGAATTCTGTTTTATTTCTATTTCTGTTCTATTCTATTCTATTCTATTCTATTCTATTCTATTCTATTCTATTCTATTCTATTCTATTCTATTCTATTCTATTCTATTCTTTGTGAGAGGGTTGGTTTTGGGACAGATCGTGGTGGTGTGCTGTCCCGTCGGCTTGGTGGCCTTTGGTCTGATTGCCCTCTGTCTCTGGTTCCTAGTGGCTTCCTCATGTCGCTAGCACATAATGCCCCGTCGACTTTGACGGCTCCTCAGAACCACTCCAAGAGCCGGTTCGGGATGTCCCGATAGGCGGTTACTCGGCTCATTTGCTGGTCCAGGCTTGTTCTGAAAAAACGAACCAGCATCCGCTCGGGCAGAAGGGGGAGCTTCCCACTGGTTTTCCTGAATGCACGGATGTGTTCCTTGATGGATCGCCCTCCCTGCGTTCTAGGTTGACTTAGTTAACGGGGAAGCCCAATCCACTTCAGAATCACGCGACTAACTTAACAATTACGTTGTTAACTTTAACTACTGAGGCAAGAAAGGTTGTAACACGAGGCAAAAAACTCACTTAATGAATGTTTTGCCTAGCCACATATAATTTGGGATCAAACTGCAGTCGAAAGTCGAGGAGCTCGAGTGCGAACACGGCCAAGGCCTGGACTGCTTGCTCTTCTGCATAGAAGCCGCAACAAGAGATCAACATTTAGGATGATGACAATGCCCTTTTCAAATAATACTCAAATGGGCGCAGAGGAAGATTTATGCAAATCAGGCCAGGTTACGCAAATATATTCTGAGTGCAGAATTGGTTTTCTCGACATAGAAATTATTGCCGTGGAGAGCACACACCTTCTGACGGCACTATATTTGCAAGGTCTAAGCCAGGGCTTCCGTAGGGAAGGGCTCTGGCTTTAACAAGGCAACCCTAAAGACGCCAGCCATGGCCAGAACCTTTGTTTGACTGGGCTGGGGGCGAGGGCTCTTCCCCCCACCCCTGCCCCAGTCCAAGATTGTCAAGGTAATCTGTAATCCCCCCCCCCCGAAATAGCCTGCAGATATGTCACTGTACTAAATGTGTTTCAGATTTAATGAAGCTTTAATGTCCTTTTTAATTTTGCCTGTTTCTGTATCACCAGGGGTCGAGCAAGGCAATCAACACTCAAGAGGATGGTTTGGTTTAAAACTAGGAAAAACTCATTTGCTTATGAGTTGCACTGTATTTTCTTAATTAAATTTACTGAGTAAAATGGTTTTAAGTTCAGCCAACCAATGACCTCTGTATGTAGATTTAGATTTATAAATAGGCTAACAGCTAAAGCGTGGACGCCAAAAGACTGGAGGGCGGGGGAAGAGAAGCTCTCAGATAAAACAAATTAGGGCTTTGCATTGTTCCTGCATAACATGAGCGGTGTGGACTCCACTGATTGATAACCCTCAAAAGGAAACTGAAAACAGAAAAGCGCAGCGAGAAGGTAACCCGGAAAGTCTTGATAGCACGTTGTAAGTTTGAGAACAGAGTCCTGTTTTCCGCCTCACCTCTGGAATCCTCCAGGCTCAGCCACTTAGCGCATCTATTCCCTCACCCAGGAACATCTTATTTTAAATCCTAATCGTTCTCGTTTGTCGCCCTCTGCTCCAGAACTCCAGAACATTCCTTTAAAGCAGAGTTGCCTGCCACAGGCTGAGGTCGCAGGAAGATGGCGCCTCTCTTGACCATTGGCAAGACAACGCAGAAAATGAGGCAGTGGCTGGACAATAACCCCCTCTGACCAAATGACAAGCGTCGCCTCAGCCTCACCTCCGAAAGCCCTTGGGGAAATACCCAAGAGATGATGTTGGTTAAGTGTGACCTCTGCCAGCAAGACAGGACCAAGGACACCGGACCAAACCACAGGCGGTACGAAGATACTGGAAATTCTACCCCCAAGCCAAAACAAGGTAAGATCTGAGACAACGGAGCCACTTAAGACATTCCTGTCTCTCTGTCAGGTACCAAGGTATGTAGCTCTTACGTCCCAAGTTCTCATCATGACCTCTGTGGCCATCAATAGGCCTGAGACCTGTTCCTTGAGAACCATCTCTGATTCTTCTACATTAAAAGATGCACACAAGTTTCAGGTTAAATTGGAAACCATTCTTAGATCATAATCTAAATATTGATACTTCATCCAAAATACGGGTTTCTTCATGCATAGAACCTGTATGTTAATTATACGCAATCTAACAAATTTTAATAACATGAACTTACTACCATCTACATTTTCCATGTGATTGTGTTAAAGACTTTGGCCTTTGTACTCATTTTAGCTTGTTCAACCATGATTCTTAGTCCACAACATGCTCTGTGCATATAAATATTGATAATTAATTGATATTTTAGAAAGCTTTAACGTTAGTGACAATGTTTAGAATAATTGTCTAGTGCAAGCTTCCTTGCCTGGTTGTCTCCAGATGCGTTGGCTGTCCAACTGAAAGCATAAGGTTCCTTCCAACTCCGTTATTCTAAGTTCTAACCATCTGAAGGGATTTTAGCTGGAACACATTAGACCAGGGGCCCCCAAACTTGGCAACTTTAAGATTTGTGGACTTCAACAGCTGGCTGGAGAAATTGAGAAGTTGAAGTCCACAAGTCTTAAAGTAGTCAAGTTTGGAGGCCTCTGCATTAAGACAAATGTGATCTAAAGCAAAGTTGCTAGAACGTTTAAGGAAACTTGACCTGGAGTTTTATAGGAAGCATTGCTTTTGTCAACCCTGAAGCCATTTTGAAGCACCTTCAGGGCTGCCACGGTAGGGCTGGCTGTAGCCATGGGAATGGGAGGTGGGGGTGTGTGATAGAGATAGCTGGGGGATTTGTAGCCATAGCAAGATTCTTTCTCTTGGGAACCAAGGACATTCTCACCAGGTGTTGGGAAGGCGTGGATTGAAACCAACTGGAGTTTAGATGGTGACCAGGTGACAGACATATGGGCTGGGGGAAAGAACTTTGATTTTTAATTTGGGTGGGGAAAACCACAGGACTTTCAGAGTCGGGTTTTCACCAGATTTGCCAGATATGATATGCCTAATAAATCTGAACTTTGAGGAACACCTTAGCCTCAGGGTTTTGATAACGTTGAGTGTGTTACTTGGAACCCTGACAGGTTGTCCACTTCCGGTCTCTCAGGCAGGTCTCGTTAGTTCACTATCTGGGCTGGACTAGATGGTCCAACAGGTAGAATTCCCTAAAGTTGTCGGTCTGAGATCAAATGCATTTATTCACAAAGTTAATAATTATTAGGATTTGAGCCCGATGCCCTTTGCAATGCTGTTTTTGATAAGGGTGCTATAAAGCCTCCCCCACCCTCTAAACCCCCAGATTAAGTCTGTGCGACTTGCAACTTTGTTGTTGTTTTTTTTAATTTACAGTTATTCTGAAAAGCAGAGGATGGCTTCATTTAGTCACATTCCATGTTTCTCAGCATAACTGCAAATTGAAAATAAGCACTTACAATACTGCTTGTGATC